CCCTTGACCGGGCGAGGGAGCCTGGTAGTATGCTTCCACCCCGAAGCCAGTCAAGTGGATGAGGAGGTTGAACACCATGCCGATGATAATGGCTGGGCGCATGAAGTTTTCAATCTCGAAGATTTGTTGAAAGAGGAGAAATATGGCGGCCTTGCTGAAGAAGAGGCCAGGGATGAGCATCATTGATTGGCTGAAGATTATCTTCCCCCACACAAGTTAGTGGAGGCAGTAAAAGGGTTGGGGGTTGAGAAGAGGTTACCTTGGCGTAGTTCCCGAAAAACCAGCAGGCCGGTATATCCCATTGATGTCTCGCATATTTCAGCTCTACACCCACCTGTCAGGTCATAGCCCTTGAGTAAGTGAGAGAGGCGACGCACGAGCAAGCATCAAACCACCATGAGCAAGAGAGAATATCAACGCTATCAGTGCACAGTCTACCACATTCTCAGCTTGTGTACATCATGGTTGGGGTTAGGTGTAAGTACAATCACTCCAAGCGAGATTTCTTTTGTAATTTGCGAATAACCTCCCGACCATAAAGAGGGTAGCTGATGTCACCATGACAACACAAACGCCTATGATAGTCGGTGCTAAACTCGGCGGGTTGATGAAGTTCGACACAGTGCCAGCTGGGGGTGCGGCGCCCGGAAAGGCGCAGAGGTCGAACCCAGCCAGTCCGTCGCTCATTTTGGAGACCCGACAGAGTGGAAAGAGTCAGGCTGGGTTAACTGAATGAAGAAGTTGCTCCGAGGTGCGAAGAGCAAATGCACAAGGTCGTTGCATCGGATGAAAGAGGAAAGAAGCCCAGGGGGCAGGGGAGAGATAAATGCTGTTGGTTCAGGTCCCGGGGGGCTGAACTACCACGATCAGATCAGATCGCGCCATGTTGGACCTGGGCTTAGTCTTACGGTCCGGTCCCGACGAGCGATTGGGAATTTGGGGGTTATTATGCGGCGCAGTTGCCGTAGGTAGAAAGAACGGAGCTGAGGTCGGGTGTGTGTGTGTCGCTTAGTGGCTCTGGCATTCACCGGCTCCAGAGAGAGTCAATAAGATGCAGCAGGATTGTCGTAGGGTGGCAGCGGGAGCGTAATGGAGGGTGGGGCTAACGGCAACAGGCAGCTCAGCAGCTGCATGGCACCTTTGCGCGCCATTGGGATCCAAGACGTGGCACAGGCGGAAACCTCGGTGATCCTGCTGCTGAAGGAGCTAATTATCGGCAGATAATGCGTTGATCTTGTCCGATATCGAACTGAGGATTGAAGAAGAGTTGGACAAGGCGCATGCAGCATACTCGCGAAACTTCCTTCCATGGGAAGTGCTACCATAGTACGTATATAAGTTGAGGTTAAAGGGTTAGGGTCGGCTATAGCCAAAAATAGCCGGATCTAACATGGATAGTTCCTATCAGGCTGCCAGTTAAATATGAGGGTATGATCCGTTTTCTCGCATCCGCATCTGCAACCTGCGGCGGGTTAGAGGATGTCCCAGCCAACAACATCGGATTTCAGCTAAAGTTCCCATGTCGGGGTTTGGCCTTCCAAATTGAGCACCTCTCAAGACTTAATCCGCCGAACTCCGTCCCGCCGAGCTCACTTTCTCCCGAGATGAATCCTTCATAACGTCCAACTCCATCCGGAGCTTATCAGCCGGTGTAACCAGCACAAAAGGCGGCACAATGTTTGGCCGTTCACAACCTCCGCGCGTCCCGACCGATGATGTCTTGCCGGCGCGATTCTTTGATGACTCGCCCGTGGTGAAAGCGGTGGTGATGCGATGGATGGTCCGCTTCGACGATGTCTTTGACGCTGAGCATCTCCGCCGCTCCCTGGCAAGACTGCTAGAGATGGGGAGCTGGAGGAGACTGGGAGGGCGGTTTCGATTGAACGTATGATTCTCCGTCCTAAAGCGGTGTATTTTAGTGCTGAGTGTGATTAGAAACAAGGAAAGCTGGAAATCCACGTCCCTAAGGTGTTTAGCACCGAACGACCAGCCATACGTTTCTCGCGTATTCAGTTTGAGTACAACATCAGCGAGCATCCTCTTGCAAGCCGACTCCCACGCCCAACTGAGGGTCCATCAATCCAGGAAGGAGGCGACGTCTTCCGGGACCTCCTGACGAACAGAAGGTGGAAGTTCCCAAAGACCCTGGAGGATTATCTGTATAGCGATGAACCACCAATCGCGTTGCAGGTTCTCGGTTTTAAAGACGCGACGATAGTGTCTCTAAACTTCCCCCACGCGTTGACAGATGCAGTGGGGCTGTCTGCTCTCATCACGAATTGGTGCAGAGTCCTAGCTGGTAGAGAGGACCAGGTCCTGCCTCTTCCCACAGTCGACCCGATGGAAACTATTTCCCAGCAAGCCGACCAGCCGGAAGAGGAGCATGTCCTAAAGACCAAAAAGCTGGTTGGATTTGGTCTGATGATGTTCGTATCCCACTTCGTCTGGGACTTACTATTTGGACCGAAAATGGAGACTCGCACGATTTTCCTCCCCCCAAAATCTTTTACGGTCCTCAAGCAGCGCGCAACTGCCGAGTTTCAGACCGGCTCCGACAAAGCAGAACCGTTCATCAGCGAAGGAGACGTCCTAACAGCTTGGGGCACGAAAATGGTAGCACTTGGTCTTGGCCCACGCTTCACACGAACAATGGCGGTCATGAATGTATTCGAGCTGCGCGGCCGCCTCAAGAACTGTTTCGACTTGTCGGGGTATGCGTACGTACAAAACGCGTTCTTTACACTAAACACGATCCTCACTGCCAGAGATGCGCGAGAGCAGGGAATAGGGCAGATCGCCCTGCGTTTGAGGAATACCCTGGTTGAGCAAACCACCGAACCGCAAATCCGGGCTCTGGTTCGTGAGCAGAGAGCGAGTCTGACAGAGAGTGGAAGACCGACACTTTTTGCTGAACCGGACAGCATTTTGGTACCATTTACAAATTGGAACAAGGCTAGGTTCTTTGAGGTTGTTGACTTCAGCCCTGCTGTACGCACACCGGGGAATTTGAAGGGAACAAAGGGAGGTCGGGTAGGAAAGCCGGCACTGTTTCTCTCTTTCGACTCGAATCCTAAACCAAACCCGACGTACCGCAACGTGTTTAATATTCTTGGAAAGGACCCAGAGGGGAACTATTGGATCACGGGCATGTTGTCACGGGCTACGTGGGACGGGATCGAGAAGGAGCTGAAGAGTCTGTAAAACACGAAAGGTTGAGCTTATGCCTAAAATTGACAAGTTGCCTCAAGTGTTTCTATCCTCTTGACTGCCGCGTGAATACCAGTATATCCATCCCGCAGAGAGCAGGACTGGCCCGTTCCGTAAGTACCTTGCCTCCCACACTGATCCTTCCGAGACCGCCTACTCCTCGCATCCTACATGCGTGCCACCCGTCTCCCAAATATACATCTCTCGTGTTCTTTTCTTGGGGTCGCCACGCATCGGGGAACTTCAGCGGGTTCGCGGCTAGCTCCTATCAATCTTGTCAGCCCACCAACACGATCAATATGATGATCATCAACCTGTCCACCTGTCCATTACATCCTCTCGACGCTCTACAAGAAGACTGAAGCGTCCTAAGACGGGCGAGAATCATGTATCTAAAAAAGGAACCGGAGCCTGATCCGTACCTGAACGCGACGCGGTAGTCGACTTAGATTCGGACCTCATCGTCAGAGGTTGGGATTCGTTCCCCTCGCCATCAGAGGATGGAGAACCGTGCTCCTCATAATCTTCTTCCCTGGTGGAGCGCCGTTCTCTGAAGAGCTGCTGCTAGCTTCAGCCTTAGTCTCAGCATCAGAGATGGAGGTATATGCGCCTTCCTTGCCTTCCTCCGTTCGGGCGTCCGAACCGTGATCCCACCCATGCGTTTCCTGCTGCGAATCCTGAACATAATACGCGTCGTACACCTCTGCGACTTCCTGTTCTGCTGCTTCCTGAGGAGTGTCTGGACTTGCGGGTGCAGCGGCAGCACTAGCCTTCTTCGTCTCCTCCCTGTCCCGGATATATAATTCGGCTGCCTTTATTCCTTCAACCGCCGCCATCACGAATATCAGGAGCACAACAGCAACAAAGAAGTCTTTAAGAAGAGACCATACACCCTCCCAGAAGCTGCTGCTGAACTCAAGTCTTGCCGATTGCTCTGGGCAGACGTAGTCAAACTGCTCTCGGAAGGAAATGTCTAGACCGCAGAAACCATTTGTCACCCATTCGGTGAACAGAGTCTCGTTGGCCGTTTGGACTGCGACGAGTTTGGAGGCTTCGTGGGTGGGCACGGCGATCATGAATTGCTCAGGGAACACTGTAGCGGGGAGAGTGACGACCGGGAGATCCATCATCCCTGCGGGAATGGGAACTGGTGCCATGGTCGTTTGATAGTGGTTGTGCTGATATCTTGGAAGTATGGTAATGAAAAAGTGTTGGATACTTGACGGGGCGAGAAGTCAGGAAGAGGACGGAATGAGAAGAGAGAAACTCGGTGACAGAGCATCAACTAAATAAGAGGAGAAGAACCATTTAAAGTTTGTGGATACTAAAGGTCACGTCTCGTTTTAGCACGGTGTCTGCCAAAATGCAAGCGTTATTGACTTTGACGAATCGTCCTAGATGACGATAACAACGGCCGCTAAGTCCCATAGTCTCGCCGGACTGTCAGAATGTTGGGAAGCACGCATCAGATGTCGTGCGAAAGGTGCACCGGCAACTTTTTCGACACAGACGGTCTCGATGAATGATCGACGTCTTAAAAGTCTCAATGGGCCCAGATAATGTCATCAATTAGAGTCTCAGTAGCTAGGTACCTTAGCCACAAAGGAAAAAAGCCAGCTCCTTAGTGATACCAGACCGTCGTTGAGATTCGCACCGCCTTAAGTCTTGAGCTATGGGATAGACGCCATTAGAATCCATGATACGTGGCGAGAAAAAGATCAGGTGAATGATGTGGACAGTTGCAAAATAAGAGCACGAAAAAACGGAAGAGAATACCCTCCTCCCGCACTCAGTGACAAGAGTGGGATTTGAACCCACGCATCTTTCGATACCAGAATCCACTAAATGTTGCCCATTTAGAAAGCAGTAGCTTGAGTCTGGCGCCTTAGACCGCTCGGCCATCTTGCCGTTATTTCCATGCTGAGTAACTACATTCCAAGTAGGAAGTGTGTGGCAGCCATTCATGCGGCATGAAGTAAGGGACGTACGCAGTGACTTGGTGAATTTGTGAGTAGGTAATCTAGCTGTGCTTGATTGGGAATTGCTCCGTGATCTGTTACATCATCAGCGACAGTGCAGCAAGTTAGCCAAAGTACGAGAGCCCTACAGCGCTGGTTATCTGCTGCTTAAGACCACAACGTCGACATGTGAAAGTGGCGGGCGTTGTCCTCTTGCCACCAGCTAAGAAACAAGCGGCCTTTTAAGTCAACATAGCGTCTAATAATTGCAATGGCATATGCAAAGGCTGTGTCACTGAAGTTTTCATCCATTCAATTTATGCAATTTTCTATATGCACTTAAAGCCAAGGTCCTTTTCGATGGTATAATGCAGATTACCCCTAGCACTTCGATGCGCAGACGTGATAGATACCTATGTTCCGATACCTTGCTGGTGATTGTGCAGACCTTATTTAGCGGGCTGAGATACTTGTGTATGTACAAACTCTGTGGAACGTAATAATGACCAGTTCGCTCGGTAGCTACATATGGCTTAACGATTAAAAAGTAAAAACACATCTGAATGGTATAAAATACCATTCCAGCAGCTGACAGACTTTCGGGGTTTCGGAGACAACAATCATAAGTAGGAAAAATAAGACAACGAGCAAAACGTCATAAAAAAAGGACATACAACACCAGGGATTCGCTGGTCGTCACCGACCCAACTACTGATCTGGCGGTCGCTGGCTTATCTATGGGAGAGCGGACGGGATCCCGATTTTCCAGTGCCTATGGTCGTACGTGCTGGATAGAGGAGATACTGTGGAGCTGCGTGATACAGAGTCTCGTGAGTCACTGTGGTCAAGATAGGAGGGTGTAGTCAGGAGACAGACTGTAGCATATCAGTGACGCCATAAGTTGAGTATGCAGGGAGCTCTCTGAAAAGAATGCGAAAGTGGTGGATTTGATGGGAAGTTTAGGTTGTCTTTCTGGGTTTTGGACAGAAGTGAAAGTTGGTCAGGGTATCTTGCGTATTACAGTGAAGTGTTTCTATATGGTGTATCCCGCAACCGTTACTAAGAGGGTATCTGCGACAGTTGTGTACTGGATCTGGCTAGACAGAGTTTAGTTTGAGCCGTTATGAAGTATATGGCTTTGTTACTCACGCAGTAGACTTTCCACCCTTTGCAAAACTGAATACGCCAACTCACTGTAGTCTGCTCCTGCCGCGCATTCTCCGTATAAGGTGCGGCCAAGACAACAGATTCGACACGCAATAATACCTGTCGCTCAATGTTGCCTGAAGCTGAGAGGACTCCCAGCAACCCAGTATCCCCGACGTTGTTTTTGCTTTGCGCCCGACCTTACCCCAGTCGTGCCGCATGTTCAGTCCCAGTATCCATCCTTCCACAGCTCTTTCCTGTAGCCCTCAGTCAACCGCTCATCCTCGCCGTATTCCTCCTGCCAGCCCACGAAGCCGCGGTCTAAGACGTAAACCTTTTGCTCGGCGGGTTTTTGTTCTGTCTTGTCGCCCGCGACGAGCTTGGTTTCAGAGGCCGGAAACATCCGCTCGCGTTCGCGCATATACCTAAGCGCAGCACTGGGACCACGCTGCTGCGACAGCGCGCAGTGGAACACGACGGTTTCCTTGTTCTGGAGCTGGCGGACGAGGGTGGGCATCATGACATCGAGCGTTCGCGAGGGAAAGTTTTTCGCGCCCTTGATATGGCCGCCAATATAATCTACCAAGGCATGTCAGTTGCCGTGCGCGCACATCGAGAAAGGAGGAGCGCAGGGGGGGAATGCTCACCGTCATCCCGCACATCGATGATGGCAATGGCGGGGTCACCGGTCGTCTTTTGTGCAAGGATCAGCTCCGACAGCGAGGCGGCTGACAGGTGCTTGAGTGTGCCGATTGTGGTCATCTTGCGAAGAACTCGATGTGTCCTGGAGAGAGCCAACGACGGTTTTCGCGATTCAGACAAGCTAAAGGGTAAAAGAGTGCAAGCAGATTTGTATATTAACCTAGGGATCGCCCGTTCTAGAAGTGATCGCGGGGCAGCTTGAGCTGAGGCCTTGGCGACTCGCGTCAGCTGGCACATGAAACGCGCCGGCCGTCCGAATGAACAGCTCAGGCGCGAATCCATCCCTATCATCCTATTGGCTCAAATTCTGTCTGCGGGCTCAAATGCAGCTAAAGTTTAGTCTGTTACATTAGGCGGTGAGGAGGCCATGTACCGCGGGTTAGGGTTTTGTATGGCGCTACAGTATAGATAGACGGTCCCTACAGTATGCCGAGGCCAACTCAGGAAATATTAGCTAAAAAATATCCCAGCCGTCGGGCGGCCGATGTGGTTGCCCCGTGCCGGTGTGGCTAGCTTAGCCAACTTTTAGCTGATTAGGGTCGATTAGGGCCGCCCTGGGCCGACCAGGGCTGAATATGGTTACTAACAGGTGAATATAGGTGCTAACAGCTGAAAATGCGGCTCTTCAACTACATTACCATTACGTAGTGTAACACTGAAGGATAAAAAGGTAAATAATGGAAGTACGGCTTTAAAACTGGAAATAGATATATGGAAGAAAGCTAGCTAATTACACTCTACGTGGATACGTGGAACAAAGAGTGGGTTGAAGGACCACCCTCATCGTAACGAGGTATGAAGTCCCAGGAGAAGTCAGGCCCGGTGGCGGGGATGGGAGTTTCTGCAGTGGGATTCACATCATGCTCCGAGTGTTTTGTGACGTTCACGGGGTGGATCTTGAGGACGCGGGGTGGTTTTTTGTGAACTTTCGATCCCGGTTCGCTATCATCGTCGTCGAACGTGAGCGAGATATCTTCTAGAAATTCCGCTCCGCTAGGTGGTTGTGGTAGCGAGCCAGGGTTTCGCAGCCGTTTGGCCGATGAGCACTCAAGGTTTGTCGAACTCCTGTCGTCTTCAACGGCTTCGCCCCCAAGACTTGGCAGTGCCAGAAATGAGAGGGATTTGACGTGCTCGGCGATGTGGTTCATCGAGATATTCGCCATTTCGGTCGAGTTTCCGCAATCTCCGAGGATGGCAATTGACTGGGGCTTGTCTTCGCAAAATGGGCAGACATAGGGATCACGGGGGGTCAATTTTTGCATTTCGTCGACAAGGACGTCGAGTTGGGCGGCAGTTGGCGGCTTTGAGCGGCATGGGTGAAGCGAGAGATCCTTCATGTACTTCCTCCAGTCCGTCTCGTTATTAAACTCGACCGGTTCCTGGTGGCCAAGATCGCAGCACCATATCTTGGAATGCGCCTTTCTAGGCCAATCCTGCGGATGGACTGCGGCCATGTGCTTGCTCCAGTCTAACTAGTGGGCGAACCAGGAGTTGGCGTAGCGCGGGAAAAGACATGCGTACGGCTTCAGATCTTGGTTCACATGGCGTCTGGAAGATATCGATCAGCAGCTGGGGTCTCTTCATGCGGATCACAGTGGTACAGGCTTACCTCCAGTATTCATTCTTGGTCCCCTTGTACACCTCGGCCGCTGGTAGTGGTTCCAAGCAGTAGGGGCATTGTACGTGCTTCTCGCCAGGTTTGATTCGCGGCGGGTCCGGATACTCAGCCGACATAGAGACCCCTTGTTGTGAAGATGCCGAGCTGCGGATGGAGAGGGCCGGCTTCTGATGTATATACTGCAAGGCTGCTCCTCGATCCATCTTAGATGCCTGTGTTGCTCTGCTGTCGGCTGCGGAAGGTAGTACGCGCAACATGCCTCCTAGCACTGGCAACTTTTCGGTGTCTTTCTCGACGGAGGGCGTAAGACGCTGCTCAGGTTTGGGGGCGGGTGGTGGCTTGGGCGCCCATCTCGTCTTCAGCTCCTCTGCGTGCCGATGCTTGTGCAATAAAGCCCGTCGACGCGCAGAAATAGTGTCGCCCATGTGTTCCCAAAGACTCGGCCTCGCATTGGGACATTTCCTTTTGACGTAGGAGATAGCCATGCCGTGGAAGGATTTGTCCTCATCACTTACAACGTTGAATAGGTCTTGCGACTGTCCATTGGCCGACGCGTTAATAATGGCTCTGGCTAAGGAATACAGCTTGTCGAGAGCCAAATCGATTGCGGATAAATAACGTTGCGACTCCGCATTTGGAAATATCGGGTTTTGGTCCTTGTTTCGTTCCACTGTTCCAGTAGAGACGCCAGTGAGCCATCATATCGAGCTGGGTCATAAAGGATAGATAACTTACGGCGGCGAAGATTTCTCTCGAGAATCTGTAAGAATCCTACGACCACGTCCCTGATTTCGTCATGGCCGTGCAGTCTGTCATCTAGGGAAGCTCCGGCGCGGGTCAAAGCTCCTGTGTCGTCTATCCAAAAGGTCAAGTTGTTGTAAAGACCCCTTATATCACGGGGCATTTCGTCCGATGAACCAGGAGCATACACCAGGGAAATCTGCTCCATGGAGGAGTCGCTATCGGCCGCTGATACAAGGCGTTCTAAGACATCGAGACATGCATCAGTGGCGTTGTATATGGTGGTAGCTTCCCTCTGTTGTTCCTCAACTTCGTTCTCGGACCGTGGATCTCCGCAGGCTGGAGCAAATCTGGGACCCGCGCCTTGCATCGTGATAGGACGCTGTGTAGGAGCGACCGCCGTAGCCTGTGTTTCTGTATTTGGTAGCGGAAACGGGGCTGTTTGAATCAGCTTCTCCTAATTGAGTTGGAGTAGAAGGGAGGTAATGGAAGCCTGGGTTGCTTGATGCAACGAACTTGAAGTCGGTGCTTGCAGACTCACGAGCAAAGATGTTCGTTAGGTTGGGACAACGTCTGCCAGATTACCTCATTGAGATGCGATTATCCGATATGCTTCCACCTCTCAATCTTTTAATGTGCATAATATAAATCGTACGGCAGCGTCCTGACCATCACCAAGCTTATGGGCTGTTTTCTTAGCCAGGTGTTCTCAAACAACTTAATGCAACCTCGAGCTATTCAAA